TCTGCATCCTTTCTCACGGATTCTATGCCATTCTCGCTCCACTTATCTCCGGTCATAACCCCCTGGATACTCGGGGTGTTCTGGATTTTATGTGTGGAGCGATCTTCTAGTTCTTTTCTTGGCTTGCGAGTGTGGGGCGACTCTGAGTGACGCCTCCTCCGCCTCTGTACTGCATGCACCTCGTCTTCTCCTACTGGGCACTCACCTCTGGACATTCTCCACTAGGGATGCTCCTGTTACATTGCACGGCTCAGCTATGTCGTGACACGGTGGTGTGTGTGTCCTGCAGGTGAGATTGTACTGTCTGGCGATTCTGTCGGCCGGTGCTGGTTCTCGCTTTTTGGAGGAGTACTCGCCTAGTTGTACTTGCAGGGGTTGAGCTCTGGCTCTTTGGTCCCACCTTTCAACTGTCAATCGACAGATATGCAGATTCCTGAGACTACTGGGCTCTATCTTTTCTACATTTGAAACTGTTCATGGAGTCTGCCTCCACCACATCACTTCCTAGTGCATTCCGTTTACTAACTACTGTCTCTGAAAAAGTTCTTTCTAATGTCTCTGTGGCTCATTTGGGTCCTTAGCTTCCACCTGTGTCCCCTTGTGCGTGTACCACCCATGTTAAATGATCCATCCTTGTCTACTCTGTCAATTCCCCACTTTACAGGGTAACGCCATTGGCACCTAACAGGGGTGTTAGGTGTTGTGTGTTTTGCTTGGACACTTTGCGTGTGTCTTCCAATGACTTTGTCCATGTATCTTGCTCTTAGTTGTACTGTGGATCACTGCCCCGCATTTAGGTGCTTTTTGTTTAGATTTTCGGCGCCTGGGTCTTTTCTTGATATTTGGACACTCCTTCGTTCCCTCGGACCGTGCCTTCTGTGTCCTCCTTCCTTGACTCGGTCTTTGATCTCTGGACACTCCTTCCTTACCTATCTTCAGTGCTTGCCTGTGTTACCTATCGTACGTTAAGGCTCGTGACCCTACAGCAGCCAAACTTTAATTACGTCTAGGGATACGAGACAACTGCTGTTCTCAATGGCGAATCACCAGTATAACCCCTTGATAAGTAATGAGCACAATAATAAATCTTCCTAGGACTGAAGAATAGATCAAAATCTTATTCACATATATATTAAATAAATCTCAATAGCAAACAGATGATTATATGGTCACAATATATCACATTAAAAATATCACTGTAACTTCCAGACATTAAATCAATATTATTATATGTATGGCTATGACAACAAAATGTATAACTTAACTCCAACTAGATGTTATCTCCCTGGTTCCCGATCAGCTACTGAATAACATAACGCAAGAGTCAAAACACATTGCCTTGCCCCGCGAACAATTTGCCAAAGTTACAATATTATTTATTTCAACAATGGAGCAATACATTGTGACAAGAGTAATCTTAAACTAACTTAATGAATAATTAATACATATTGATATGCAAAATTAAGGTAATTGTTTCTTTACATAGTAATTAAAATATGCATACAGAAGGGAATAATGGCATGCACACCCAGCAACGGACGGTCCCACGACAATTTGCCAGATACAGTTCACTCAATTATTATTCACCTCTGTTACCCACTTATGATCACATATAAATCATTTGTTCCCGTGGGAAAACTGATCACACAAAGAAATAAAACAATCATTCCCACGATACGTTGGGCCTAACGCCAACACTGTAACATGAATGTACGTTTGCATAGAACATATAAGTATATCAATATACATGCTTGTAATTTACACACAATTATAAATGTACATATTAATATATTTACTTACGTATCTTATAGGAGTATGTAACAGCCTGCACCCCTGATATCCATGGTGTCCTTCTGTGTATGTGCGACCACCCAAAACACACGATGTGGTTGGTTGTGTACATTGCGTTACCAGCTGCTACTTGGTCCATATTCCGTTTTTTTCCTTGTCTATTTCCGTTTTTCCTCCTTCTATGCTACACATGGCTATGTATCTTGGTCGGTGCCTATTGGCTATACTGATGTTAGGTGCTGGGGTGGGTCTCTGCCCATGTTCAGTTCCCTGCTTTTGGACTACTCCAGTGTTCAGTTTTGGCACTGGGTTCTTTCACTTTTTCCTTGTATCTCACTGCAGGCTTCTGTGTTGCAATGTCTGCCGGTAGTTGTGGACTTCCAGTCAACCGCTCCTGTTCTACTGGTTCCTTTTCTTGAGACAGGGGTAGCTAGGATTCCGGTCCTGACTACGGCTTTTCTTTGTTCCCTTTCCTGAACATACGTTTTTGTTTTCCTGCGGTGTGCTTCCTGCGTAGTTCTCCTCATGTATACCTTGGAGACGAGTGCGTCATTCTTCCCTGCTAGTTCAGGTGGTGCTGCTCCTAGGGGTTGCGGGGTCACTGTTTTTCGATTCGCATCTCGTGCTTTAATTCATAGTGCTTGTTTTCCTTGCTGGCCTCTGCCTGGGCCCTGGCTCTTCGGTGTTTGGCCTTGCTGGTCCTTCAGGGGTCCTGGGAGGGGGGGTCCTCCCGGACAGGGCGTGTATGCTCACCCGGGTTGGTTCCTTTTTGACTCTCTGGGCTTGGGTTCCAGGTTCCCTGGCGGCCGTTCCTTCTGGTTTTTGCCCGCCTTGGTTGGGGACGCTGCTTTACTCGGTTTTCGATCCTGAGGGTCTTCCTGCAGTTCCACCTCTTTTTGCGGATCAGCCCAGCCCTGTACAAGGCTGGTTCGTTCTTCCACTCGAGTCTTTGCGTCTCGGGTTTTTGTCTCGAGTTTCTCGTCGCTTGTGTGGGCACTGATGGCTTCGTTGTTGGTCTCCCACCTGCATGCTTTGTCTCGGCGGCAGTGTGTAGTTTTTCTGGCGATCCTTCCGGTTTTCCTATGACTGAGAAGGGTTGTTCAGTCTCTGATAGGATTGTCCTTGTTTTTCCCTTTGGGGTTGTCTGGGACCGTGGTCTGGTGCCGTGTACTGTCGCCTCGTCTTGGGTTGCGCTGGCGGAGCCGCTCCAGCTTACATTCGGTGTTGCTGTTCCTTCTGCTCTGTTCTGCTTACTGTCTTGTGCGTTGTTTCACCTCCGGCCTGCTCTTGCGCTTCCGGTGCCGTCCTGGTCATTGGCCCGTGTGGTTTATTTTCTTTCTTCTCCTTGGTTTGTCATGATCCCTTTGGCTCTGGTGTGTTTTTGTTTTATTTTCAGGTCTCCTTAGTCTCTTGGCGTTGACCTCTAGGGGTCAGTTGGGGAGTTTCCAGCTCTCCTCCGGCACCCATGTTTTTTGTGCCTCATTTGGTCCTAGTGGTAGGTTGTTCGCTTCCTGCAGTCTCCTTTTCTGGTGATGTTTGGTTCTGCTGTTTTCCGAAAGGGTCCTTGGGTTGCTGCTTGGTTGGTCAGGCCGGGGGTGCTTTATTTGTTGTTTGGGTGCGGCTCTTCGTTGTTTTCTGCGCGTCTTAGCCTCTCGGGCCATGGACGCATTTTGGTTTGCCCAGGTTCCCTTCCTTCCCTCCTTTCTGTTTTGGGAGTTTGGGTCTTCCGGGTCGTCTGCAGGGTCCTTTACTTTCGTCTGTGGTCTTGTTTTTGTGTTAGGTCACATGGCGTCCGCCTTCCGGATCCTTCCCTCTTTTCCTTATCTTTGGTGAGGTAGCTCCGGGGAGCCGACGGGGCTTTCCCCAGAAAACCAGCGTTGAATGTAATGAAACGCCATTTTCTGGATGAGTCCTGGAGGCTCGCCAGCATCCCTCCCTCCCTCCGGTCCACAGTGTTTTTCACATATTTTGACATCCAGTCTAAGGACTGCTGGTTGGATTGCCGACGCGGAGGGCCTGCGGCTTCCCCTTCACCCTCCCGGGAAGGGGGGGGGGGGTTGCGCAGACGGCGGCACAGCGACGTGATGACGTCATATTAGTTTGATCATTTTGTTTGAAGAGTTCTGTCCACTCGTTCGGCTTTTGGTAGCAATATTTTCACCAGAATAGGGTTTTTTGGGGGGACACCTACCTTTCTGGGTGCCTGTCCCTGTTGATGGCAGACATAGCATGCTCCCAACCACAGGGAGGTTTCTACAGGCCATTGCTCCTTATGCCTCTCTGAGGGGGCCAGGTTCTGGCTCGTGGTCCCCGGTAGGCAAGAACTTCAAGCACTTTGATGCCAGAAAGTTATACATATCCATTCAGTCTGGATAGCTCTGGGGAGCCTCCGAGATCCACCCAGAAAATGGCGTTTCATTACATTCAACGCTGGTTTTTTAGACTTGGACTTTGAGATGGAAAGAGAAGACATTCATGTTTAATGTTTTTCTAGAACACACTGCATTTGAATCCATCATCTACATCATATTTACCCCTGCCCTTCTCTATTTGTGTTCGGCTTTGAATATTTTACCCTATAGTCATGTTCGAAGATAGTTTCTCCCTCTAATTTTCACTCAGCCTTGTTAGCTGCAGCAGATACATCTGATTCTCACCCTAAATAATCTGCTTTGGTTCTACATGATACATTGACTGGTTTCTATCTGTCTACCAGGGATTCTGGTGGGTCATACTAAATTTTCATCTAGAAGTCTGTCTGGTTGCTATCGTTTGAGTTCTCCAAGACGCTCTATAGCTACACATACCTTGTACTCTTTCAAACTCTGACCCCATCCACTACTTTATCTTTCATGTATTGTTTTGCTCTTACCTTTCACAATTCTGGTTATCTACCAAATGATCCCTTTATTTAAACTTTGTTCATTTTACTATACCTATCCCACATACACTTTAATCTTAATATAAATACTGTAGCCCCTTCTGCCCTCCTCCATTAGTTTTTATCCAGTAACAAGAATACAGTATTTATCAACGTAACACAGGTCATTTAGCTACTCATTCTCTACACCAGAAAGCCTTGTGGGAGTTGGGATGCTTCAGGGTCTTCTGTGGGACATGTTCAGTACTAGAATAAAAGTTGTGCCTTGTTTCCGGTTTTTCTGAGAGACATGCTCAGTACTAGAATGTAACTTGTATACTTGTTTCAGGTTCTTCTGTGTGAAATACCCTAAAAGCTGAAGTGATCACTTGAAGGAGTTATTGCAGTGTAACCACAATACAGTACAGAAATTTGAAAGGTTAAGATGTGACATTTGAATCATAACTTACTTAAGAGCTCTTCAGAAATAAATGTAATGTACCAAAACCAAAATTGGTATTATTATATGAATTTCTGTGTACATATTACGTTGACACTTCGCAAATTTAAATTTAACAGATATTTGTGTGCCACATACTCATTTATGAACTCAATAAAGATGAAGTAAAAACTTGCATTTTTGTGCTTAAATATATGACAATTGTATAACTTGAATATGAATAATGTACAGGAGAAATATGTTGTCAAACAGTACATCAATATGCATGTTATTTTACACAATGGTAATGAATATTTTCAGTGTGGAGATTGTGGGGAATTATTTGCAGAAAAGGAAAATTTGCAGTCTCACATGCTACTGCATAATAGTGAGAAGAAGAATTTGTGCAATTTGTGTGGAAAACAGTTCACTCGTAAAAGTGATTTGAGTCGACATCATTTGATACACAGTGGTGAAAAAAAATGTAAATGTAATGAATGCGGAAAACTTTTTACACGTACCAGTGATTTAAACAGGCACCTACTGATGCACACAGGTGAGAAAAAGCATTTGTGCAACGAATGTGGCAAGCGATTCACACGGAAAAGTGACCTAAACCGACATATTCTGGTACATAATGGTGATAAAAGGTGTGAATGTGAAGAGTGTGGAAAGATTTTCAGTCAAGAGGAAAGCTTGAAGATACACATGCTTGTTCACACTGAAGCAAAGACATTCCAGTGTGAGGAATGTGGTGAATTATTCCGAGATAGCAGCAGCCTGAAAGTTCATAAATTTTTGCATACTGGGGAAAAGCCCCATAAGTGCACCGATTGTGAGAAACAATTCACACGTAAAAGTGACCTGAACAGGCATGCTTTAATTCACAGTGGAGAGAAAAAACACAAGTGCAATGAGTGTGATAAGCAATTTATTTTCAAAAATGAACTGAATAGCCATATGCTTGTTCATTGTGCAGAAAGAGATTACAAGTGTGAGGAGTGCAGTAAACGTTTTGTCTGCAACTCCAAGCTAAAAAGGCATATGCTTGTGCATACGGGAGAAAGAAACTACCAATGTGAAGTGTGTGAGAAGCGATTTAACTGCAATTCAAAACTCAAGCGACATATGCTGATACACAGCGGAGAAAAAAACTACAAATGTGATCAGTGTGGCAAACGTTTCAGCTGCAATTCGAAACTTAAGAGACATATATTTGTGCACAAAGGTGAAAAGGCATACAAGCCTAGAGGAAAAAAGTATTGTGATAACTTTTCTCCTAGTTGTTCATTCATAATGCCTCAAGTAGTCAATGAAGTATTTGTGATGCCGGAAACAGTTAATACTAACATTTTTGTAAAGGAAGAAAAATTAGAAGAATGCGTGTTTGTGAACAAAATGGGGTTCCGTTAATGGTCATCTGATTAGAGCACTGTACATATTTTAAGTTAAGAAAATGTCATAACTGGCTGGAACAAAATATGAGTATACAGGACAGATTTGCCCTGTTTCAAGATCTTGTAAGTTATTTTACAAATATAGCCACTGCTTTCTGACAGCCTATACAGTAATTCTAAGGAATTCACTTTTTTCATGTCTTCTTAACAGCACTTGCCCTAAATTTATTTACCAAACAGTAGTGTACAGAACCTACATTAAAATGTTGATATGCCGATAAAATTCTTGCAGTCTGAAGATTGGAGCCATACTAAAATGCCTATCCCTAGGTTGTGGATAAATGAAACTTTCATTTGAAACTAATAGTAGTTCTTATGAATTATGAAATTTATGTTCTTTACTGTTCATAAATATGACTACTGTATATTAAATATACTTGAGAATGTGTCATTCACATTTAGTGTGAATTATTTTACGAATGAGTGAGAAGCTCCAGAGTTTCTCAGGAACACTTGTAAGGTACAAGAGTAAATTACTTGGTTGTGGAATGCTTAACTAAATATGAAATCTTTGCTAAGAAAAAGTATTAAGATTAATCATTTTGTGATTCCTAGTTTTCAGTTCTTTTATATATGTATATATATTTATATATATAATCACTGATTGCTGCATTATTATCAGCTGGCTGATATTAACCTTATTCTGACTGGAAACATACAATAATTGCATTTTATCCTATAGAAATTTTGTTTATATTGGATGGCCACATTTAAGGATTCAATATAATTCAGGTTTCCTTTGAAATATTAGAATGATTCAAGGGAGGAATTTAACTCTTGGTTAAGCTTATACAAGTTTGCTTACTCGGAAGAAATTAATGGAAAGAATAAATTGCCGCAGTATGCATGTGTGTCATACAGTACGTACCGGCATATAGGAAAACTCAAGATAATGAGATAATTTAAGAATATTGAATATTTATACTCACTTAAATAGCAGTGACAAAGAGTGCTATGTGGACGTGGGAGTGACTGGCCCATCAGCAGGTGTTGTAGTGGCAATGTGGCCAGCAAATTAAACCACTGTCATATCTGTTCTACCATTAGAGACGTGCAATTGCTTAACTATTTATTGTGCCATTTTCAAATCAAGGTGTATTCCATGCCAGCTTTCAAAGTGGAGCTTGAATACTCATCTGTTTAAATTTAAGCAGACTGTACATGGTGGTTTTAAGTTACAAATAACTTTATCTTCAACATGAAGATGTTTAAATAAGTGTTGAGTGCAGTTCACCACACATGTTACCATCAAATGTACGTGCAATATGCTGATTTTTTACACACTAAATTAAATAATGATTAAATAATAAATTCATTCTTCTGTTTGGTTTCATAATTGTACTAGACTAAAGGATATGGATAATTTATATTTTAATGCATACCAACTTTAGAGACCTATATATAACAAATGTATGTATGTATGATATAAATATCAAAGTTTTAGTATTGACCAGCTGTCTGTTGTTCAAAATGAGAAACTGATTATGAGAAGAACAGCATTAGATAGTCTGTGTTACTCCCTACAATCCCTTTATAAAATATTTATTGTAACTGGAATTACATGGTACAACTAAGCAATTAAGTAAAAAACACACTGTACTGAATGCTCTTAAGTATTTACCAAGGACTGGTATACTGTACTGTACCTGTAATTGTGTTTTCATCCCATTCTCGAAACGTTATTTGTATCTTAAGTAGTGTAATAGAACTGCTCTGTTACTAGATTTTCTTGTATTAGATGCCAGTACTCTAGTTACCCTAGTTAATTATTGCTGCCATTTATTTCACCTAGATATTTAATAAACATCATACAAATGTTACTTTGTCAATTTTTTTTCTTTAATCCTTACATCACTCACCTGTTTGATCAAAAAATTACAAATTTCTCTAAAACATTTATTCTCCAGACATTTTCTATGTATATAACTTGACCCATATGAATCTGAAGTACACAAGGAAATCACAATAGCATGATATATCGGTGAGAAAGTCACTCGAGCAGAGCAGGGATTGAACCAGCGTCTAGACCAGAGGTTGCCAACGAGTGGTCTGCGGACCACTAGCGAGACAATTTTATTTGTCTATTGTATGTAACTGTGTATTTTCTATAACTGTTATATTTAATGGCATAAAATAGTTTGCTTTAATAACTATCATTTCTTGTTTGGTGGATCGCGGGATTTAAAATTATGAATTTAGTGATCCGTGAGCTCTGAAAGGCTGGCAACCGCTGGTCTAGACGAGTGCCAGATGCACACCATACCACTGAGCCACTACATGCTACAAGAGCTATTCAACCCGGACACTTCTGTGTCCTTTAAGGATTTTGTAGGCCCCACCTGTTGCCACAAACAGTTTTTGTGAATAGCCTGCATGCACTCTGTAGGTATGTAGTTCTCCACCATTTTGCTCCTTTCAAATTCACAGTACAGTACTGTACTGTAGTATAATATACTGTATCTTAAACAAGGTCTTGTTGCTTGTTTCTATTTATAAAATTTCACTATCTTCCTTTGCTCTTACTAAAATGAAACACAGTACAGTAGTTCTAGTATTATTGAACAGTACTTAAATTTGCACCTTAGTGATGTCAGTTTCAAACTTTTGAATAACTATATTTCTTGAAAATCCTGAACACGACTCACTTTGCATATATTGTATTGTTAGATGAAACCCTTGCTGACATATTCCCAGTATTTTAAACAGGCATAGGGGAAGAATATTGTTAAGATTGTGTAAATTTGCTGATCAAATTAAAGGAATTGTAGGGAGATTGTGCCAAAACACAAGATTTACCTCTCACTTCCAGAGAGCTGCCACTTCACTTGTGCTTCTTGGTTGCTGACTTGACAACCATAATAGGCTTCTCTCCTCTCATATCTCATTATCTGTGAGAGCCAAGCAATGTACAAAGTTGCAATAACAAATGTTGCCCAAACATTTGTCATTGGACATTTGTCTATTACTAATGTATGTACTCAAACCTTTGTATGTTATTCATGTTGTCAGGCATCAGACATTGAAATAACATGTGTTCAAGTGTAGTAATATGTGTGAGTGAAGTTATTATCACCCATCATATCTAGTCATACTTTAGTACTTTTTTTTTTAATGCAGTATTCTTTATTAGAAAGACATCCTTTGCAGTGTGATGATTATTCTAATGTGAAAGTAAAATAATACTTTCCTTGCAAGGAACTGGATGTATGGATTACTTTCAATGAAAAGGTTTGGTGCATCAATGCTGACAGTACCTGCATATTGGAATTTATGGGTGTAGAAGATGGAAATGATTACATGAGCTCTAGTGTCACAGTAGTGAAAACTAAGATAACTAGGTTGATCACTGATGTAAGTTACTCTAGCCCAGTAACTATCAGATAGAGCAAGAAAGGAAAGAATACACTTCAACAACAATATAGCATAAAGAACTAGGGGTCATAGACTCAAGCTATGGAGACAAATCTGCAAAAAAAAAAAAAAAAAGTTTTTTGCAAACAGAGCAGTAGATGATTGCTGCAAGTTAAGTGAGAAGGTGGTGACTGCCAAAACCATCAGTAGTTTCAAAGCATTATATGACGAAAAGTACTGGGATAATGGAACATCACAAACATAGCTCTCATCTTGTAGCTCAGCTTACGTAATTACATACATATTCTCAACAGAGGACCACATAAAGGACATTGTGCAGAGAGCATATGCTACGCTTTCCAACTTCAGAATCTCTCTCAAATACAGGAGTACCTCGGTTTAGAAATTTAATCCATTCCTGGAGATGGTTTGTAACCCGAAAATTCGTAAACCGAAGAGAATTTCCCCATAAGAAGTAATGGGAAATGAATGAATGTGTTCCAGACTACCCAAAAAATTAACTTCAAAGTAAATTTTATACCTAATTCACCCAAATCTTAAGTACAAAAGTATGTATGAGTTAATACTTACCTTTACTGATGACTCCTGTTGGCATATGGAAGACAGGAAGGAGAAGTGTTACTGTTTGGGAGGGGAGTCCCCTTCCATTATAACATGAGGCAGTGATCACTCCTCTGGGTGTAACACGGGGGGGGGGGGGGGTTCGTTCTGTACTTCGTATCTTCGTTCTCTCTCAACCCCTCTCTTTACCAATATTCTACTTTAAATCTCTACCAAGGGACTCCAAACTTTTACTTGAGCCGACCCCATGCCACGTGGTCTTAAGACGATTGACCGACTTAAGATTATACAACCCGTATGACGTGAAATAGACTTCTAGCAAAACTCTAGAATCACTTTTTTGCTGCTATCACCAGATCACCAGACCAGCAACACTGAGCAATGATCGAGGTCTGGATCGATCATGCTAATCAATAAACTTTGGGGCTTGATCCTCACTAGTAATAGATGACTTGGATATCCGTAAGTGTGGAATTAATTAATAATCAAAGGGAATACTGAATTATGATTCGGTGTTAGAATCGGCGCCCAACTCAACTCGGCCTCGTCGGCTACCCACGTGGTACGGACCAATTCACATCAACGTGCAGCGTGCAGTGCAGGAGTAGTTTTGTAGTGTATTTGGCGAGGTGGAGGCGAGCAAGAGGTCGCTGAGTCCGCGGGCTCCCTTTTAAGTACCCCACTTGCTGCGCGCGCGCTACTTAGTAGGTTAGTCTCCAAATCATGGTAATACATTTTCTTCTTTGCAGAACTTCACCGCTTTTGTTGTGAAAGCAGTGACTATTTATTTGAGGAATCCTCAGCTGATTCCTCTACATTTAGCATGGAACAAATTTGTGTCCAAGACGTCTTCCTGTTACACAGTTTGTGTCTAACAATCATTATCAAAAATAGGCATCAAGCCGGGAAGGCTATGTAGCAGCATTGTGTGTAACAATAAACCAAATTTTTTAACAGATAATGCACCTGTGAGTAAAACAAATCCTGTCAGCTGTAAAATATTGATCCGGTTATTTAAATAAAAAATATAACGAAACAAATATTTATGGGCTGTTTATCCTATTTTTCTAATGTGTATCCAAAGAAGTGAATAATTGAGACATACTGCACAATTTAATGATTCACAAGAAATATTAATAACATTGTTGTCTTCTTTTTATCTTCTAGTGTGTGGTTTGGTAAACATTACTAACATTAACATATCAATATGAGATCTTAATGATCCATCTTCTTGAGGTTATCTTGAGATGATTTCGGGGCTTTAGTGTCCCCGCGGCCCGGTCCTCGACCAGGCCTCCACCCCCAGGAAGCAGCCCGTGACAGCTGACTAACTCCCAGGTACCTATTTACTGCTAGGTAACAGGGGCATTTAGGGTGAAAGAAACTTTGCCCATTTGTTTCTGCCTCATGCGGGAATCGAACCCGCGCCACAGAATTACGAGTCCTGCGCGCTATCCACCAGGCTACGAGGCCTCATCCATGGTTAACATTTATGATTTAATAAGGATAATACTGGTAATAATAATACAAGCTATAACTTAAAACCTTTATTACTGATTTCTTTTTATTAACAAGCTTAGGTATACACAGCAATGTGCTGCTACCCTATTCTATGTGAAACATTACAGTGTAGATCATAAAACTAGCTACAAGCTCATCCTACATCCCTACCTCACAGGACGGCCAGTCATACATGGAATCAGGAGAGAATAAGAAATGTAAGGCTGAGATGTATGCCTTGCAATACAGGTTACTATTAGCTCCCACTAGCAAAATCTGAGTACAGTACAGTATAAGAATATCTTCCAATATTCCTGAGTGTATGAAGTAATTACAGAGCTCCAAGTACCTCATACCATTTGGTCTTAAGTCACAGATAACAGGGCAATCACAGATATAGTGTTGGAGAGTATGTCCTCTTAAGTAGGACTGAAAACAGATGTTTTTTCACCAAGAGGGTTATAAACCCATGGGAACCGCCTACCCGCTGAAGCTGTAAATAGCCACTGCTTTTATCAAAAGCAGTGGATTTTCTGTGAGAAGAAAACGTAATTCTATGAGTTGTGTCTAAATGACTAAGCTGCGCGCGCACCGAATGGGTACTTATATTGAGCACCACGGACCCGGCGACCTCTGTCTCGCCGTCACTGCAGCTGCTCCACATTAAAAAATGACCCACCCTCATCCCGGGATCCTTCTGCATCCCCTGTTTTCCTTTTCACGGGATGACATTCAGACAGGCTCAGACGACACTTCGATTCTATCTTGCTATGCTTTTGTGTTACCTTTGGGGGTGCGCCGCCGGAACCCCCAAAGCTAAGACATATTAACAAGAATTGTCATTAGTGTAAATGCAAATAATGCAACTTTCAGTTACTAATTATAAATGTAACGATTAATTGTAATTGAGTTATACTTTATAATGGCTATTCTCTAATATTATTTCAGGATAATAATTCATTGTTATTCACTAATCTTTATTAGTCACAAAATTATTATTCACTTGAACTATCTACCCTAGTCGCCATAATTAGCTATTATGTTTCGTCATAATTAATGTTTATTATAATTATTTATTATTATAATGAATTATTTATTATTATAATGAATTATTTATTATTATAATGAATTATTTATTATTATAATGAATTATTTATTATTATAATGAATTATTTATTATTATAATGAATTATTTATTATTATAATGAATTATTTATTATTATAATGAATTATTTATTATTATAATGAATTATTTATTATTATAATTAATTTATTATAATTAATGATTTGTTATTATCAAAATAAAAAAGTCCCCAATCTGTACGCGTTGTCTTCCAACCGCAGAAAATGCCAAAATCCAGCTAGAAAATATCATTAGGACAATTGG